TGAATGAAAGAACTTACCAGAAGATGGTTTGCAAAATTCAGTGGTGGAGATTTCACCTTGAAGATGAAGATCGAACCAGACGTCTAGTTGAGTTTGATGAAAAGCTTCTTGAAGCAGCCCTTGAAGAAAATCCTGCTTTATCAGTTGAGGAATTGGCAGTGGTTCTCAGTTCAAACCATACAACTGTTCATCGTCATCTTCAACAACTTGGAAAAGTTCCTAAACTTGAAAAATGGGTGCCTCAGGAATTGTCTGAAAACAACCTCAAATCCTGAGTTGACATCTGCTCTTCTCTCCATTCTCGCCAAATTGTTTCACCTTTTTGATAGACTTGTGACTGGCGAAAAAATGGATCTTTATCGAAATGTTAAGCGTCGTAGACGTAGCTTGTAAAGGGAAGGACCCCACCACAGCCGAGAAGGGAACTTCATGAACAAAAAGGTTCTTCTTTTCAATCTGGTGGGATCGCCAAGGAATAATCCACTTTGAATTCTTACCACCTAATGCAGCAATTAATGCTCAAATATACTGTCAGCAATTTTCCATTTTGACCAAGCTTGAGGGAAAAAAAGACCTGCTCTACTGAATCGAAAAGAGGTGATGTTTCATCAGGACAATGCGCGACCTCACACAGCAAGAATCACGTCACAAAAGATCGAAGAACTTGGTTGCGAGAAAATTCCTCATCCACCTTATTCTCCCGATCTTACTCCTTCAGATTACCATTTGTTTCGTAGTTTACAGAATCATTTGGAAGAAACAGATTTTGTAACACAGGAAGAGGTTAAAACTAACATTTGCGAGTTCTTCGAATCAAAGCCAAAAGAATTTTACGGTAATGGAATTAGTAAGCTTGTTAATAGATGGAAGGAAGTCATAGATAATCAGGGAAAATACACTGTCGATTGAATCTGTAATTAAATGTAACATTTGGTTACTTGTTTTCTTTATTCAAAATTCGGACAGAACTTATGGGATGACCTGACATATATATATATATATATGTGTGTGTGTGTGTGTGCGTGTGTGTGTGTGTGTGTGTGAAAAGATACAAGGATTGTATCAAGAACAACCTAAAAGGCTTACATATAACTTCAACAAATTGGGAAGAGATGGGTGCAACACTTCGAAGTTTTGCTTCTATCAGCACAGTGATTTACGATGAAGCTTATGTAAGTCGTTGCACAAAAAATTAAACATTTAATAATTTATCCCTGCTGAGCACTATATATATATATATATATATATATATATATATATATATATATTAATTTTAATATAAACGTGTGTTAGCACGTCCGATACCTATTCTTCATCAGCCGCCGACCAGGGTGATCTCACGGTTTTCATATGGCGAAACCACCACCCCCCAGGCGTCACCAGCAGCGTTTGCCATATATATATATATATATATATATATATATATATATATATATTAATAATAAATATCCATGTATTCTCTTTATATGGAAAGTGATGACAAATGTATTCCTTCTGTTTTTTATGTTGTATCTTTTTTTTTCGAAATATAATCTATATTAGGTGCCTCCTCCAATGTATTGGAGATTCTCCCACTGAGAGCTGGTAACGTCTACTGAATTTGAAATTTTGCTCATTTCAAAAAAAAAAAAAAAACACTATTCATTATCAAATATGACTGGCTGTAGGAAAAACCGAAAAGTTGGTAATTTCAAAAAACTTTATAACGCTCCCACATTTCAGTCAAAACCAACATATCTTTGTTATGACTTCATATATATATATATATATATATATATATATATATATATATATATATATATATATATATATGTATTTATATGAGTATGCGTTTATGCGCATTTTAGCATGGGTGTGAGTTTATGGCTGTCTGAGAATTTGTGTGCACATGTGTGTTATGAATTTTGGTTATTTGAAAAGCAAACAAACTGAGCTGGTCTTAAAATTTAAAAAGCCTGAAATCCTACCAGAAGAAAAGTTCGCAGCGCGAATCCAGCTGAATAAGCGGGACGTTCGGTAAACAAATCTGCATGGCGAGACACGTGTTGGGCAGAGGCCTGTGCACAGCAGGACATGTTGTCTTGCTCAGGGGCACAAGGGTTTCCTTTTCGGACTGGATGATGAAATGAAGCGGCATAGATGGAGATGTTGAACGTGGAAGAAAGAAATTCGAGAAGCGAAACTTAAATTTAAAAAAGAAAAGATAGAAGGAACCCGAGAAGGTAAATTAAAGAAAAAAAGGAAGAAAATATAAACGATGAAAATAGAATAAACTAGAAGGAAAGATATATGAACGAAATTGAGGAGAAAGAAGGAAAAAAAGAAAATAAATGAATGAGTTAATGAATGAATGAATGAATGAATGAATGAATAAATTATGAATCAAAACGAATTCTGAAACAGAAAGTAAAAAATAAGATTTAAAATGATAGGAGAGAAGAAAGGTATATATAAAAAGAGGCGGAAGAAATATATTAAAAGAAGAAAAAGACGTAAGCATAGAAAATATCCAAAAGAAGGAGTATAAACAATTATCTTAATTCGTTTAACGGAACATCAACACCTCTATGGGTCATTTACTTCCGAAATGTAATTTTTTGGGAGCTTTGAGGCAATAAAATTGATATACGTTATTCTGCTTTCACAGTTGAATACATGGTAGGTGATACTCAGCTTTTGTGCATATACATGTTTGAGTGAACATAATTTCTAGAAGGGGGGGGGGTGATACGTGTTTTATGTTGTAACTTTGTTGAAGCCATATTTTGGAATACAATTTGATTCCTTTAAGAAATTGTAGAATATTATATGGATTAATGTCATGTTGTTATTTAATATTTTTTAACGGATTTGGATTAAATTCTACAATTTGTTAGTATGCACGTATAGTTGGTAATTTTACTATAAATATGTATTGTTGGTAATTTTATTGTAGCCACATTTTGAAATACAGTTTGATTAAGAAATTGTAGGATATTATATGGATTAATGTCATGAAAGAGAACTTTCATGTTGGTTGTTTGGTTGGTTGATTTTGTTTAGCGGCATATCAACACCTCTGTGGGTTATTTAATGAAGAAATATCAATATTTTGAACACAATTCTCAAAAATATATATATATATATATATATATATATATATATATATATATATAACGCAATTGTATGCCTTTCTAGACTTTACACATACCCGACCATAGCTCCATTAGGACTCATTCAAGCATACACAAAAACTAGCAGACTACATAATAAGCTCATCCACATGTAAAAAAAGATTAATGTCATGAAAAAGGTCTTTCATGTTGATTGGTTGATTATGATTAGTGGCATATCAACATTTACGGGTTATTTAATGCCGAAATCTAAATCTACTTTTATACTTTCAGGTAAAGGTTTTGTTAGATATATATTTTATAGATCATGAAATGAATTGTTGGTAATTTTACTATAAAAATGTATTTTTGTATAATTTTAATTTGGCATTGATTGTAATTTTGATATAAAAGTGTATTGTTAGTCATTTTATTATAAAAGAACCATTGAAGAAGTAGAAGAAGAAGAAGAAGAGAAATAGAAGAAGGAGCAGAAGAAATAGAAGAAGAAAGAATAGAAGAAGAAAGAATAGAAGAAGAAAAAGAATCAGAAGAGGAAGAAGAAGAAGAAGAAATAGAAGAAACAGTAAAAGAAGAAATAGAAGGAGAAGAAGAAATAGAAGAAGAAGAAGAATAATAAGAAGATGATGAATAAAAAGAGATAGAAGAAGAAAAAATAAAAGAAGAAGAAGAAGAAAAATAAAAGAAGAACAAACAGAAGAAGAAGAAATAGAATGAGCAGAAGCAGATGAAGAATTAGAGGAAGAAATTGAAGCATCATCACCATCAGCAGCAGCAGCAGCAGAAGAAGAAGAAGAAGAAGAAGAAGAAGAAGAAGAAGAAGAAACAGCAGAAGAAATAGAAGCAGAAGAAGGAGAAAAAAGAAGATGAAGGAGAAAAAGAAGAAGCAGATATAGAAGAAGGGGCAGAAGAAAAATAAAAAAAATAAAAAGCAGAAGAATAAAAAAATAGAAGGAGCAGAATTAGATGAAGGAGAAGAAGAAAAAGTTGAATCCAAAGAAGAAATAGAAGCATCGGCAACAGGAGAAGAAGAAGAAGTGTAATGAAAAACATGGAAGAAGGATAAAAAAGACGATAAAGAAAAAATAAAGAAGAGTGAAACAATTTCAGAGAAAAACAAAAATAAGTTTAAAATGGAAGAAAAATCAAGACTAAATAAGAAAAAAATGAGTTTAAAAACCTAAGGAAAAATATCAAAGAACGATAGTTCAAAAAGACTAAAATCTGAAAGACAAGAGAAAAGATGAAGGTAAATATGAACTGAATAAGAAAGAAAGAAAAATGACTGAATGTATGTCTTGTATGCCGTTAATGTTTCAATATAACACATCCTCATTGGGGCCAAACATGATTTTGTGCTTTACAAAACTCTTTCTTTCGTTTAGATATAGTGTCCCAATATGGCGTCGATAAACTCACCAATCATCTAGCTTTGTCCTTGTTCTACCATCCATTCACACAACTTCGTTTCGTCTTGCTTCTGTTACCTTTTGCAGGCCTTCTGAATCCCAGCTTCTCAAGAGGTTTTTCCTCGTTATGTGTCTGTTATGATTGTTAACACTTAACAATAAAAAGAGTTTTAATAGGTTGGTAAAAAGATACAGAAATCGCCTGAGTAGTCAATAACTAGCTCAGCTAAGAACTTCTCTGTCTATCTATCTCCCCACCCCCATGTCAACTGACATGCCACTATTTAAAGTCTTTGTTCACAGACGCAGACAAGTTCATCTTCAAGAGGGGTGGTAGGTTTCCGACACAACAGTGTCTCAAAAGTTTGTGCATCATTTTCCTTGTAGTTCCTATTTTCATTAAGTCTTCTTCCTCGTTAACATACCCTGTCCATATTATTGTCAGTATCCATCGATAGAACCACATCTCTATTGCCACACGTCTGTTTTTCATTTATGAAGATATTGTCCAATATTCGCTTCAAATAGAAATTTAGATTTTACGAGAGTAAATCAGAAAGTTAAGGCGATTTTGAAAAGATGCGCTAAAAATAACAGGGATGAGCTGATGCGTGACAACAGGCTTTGGCTTAAAAAGTGGTTTCCCTGATGAAAAAAAAAGCGATGTGGGTTCGATTCCTATCGGAGGCACAATTTTTATTTAATAGGATTTCTCAATCTCGACCGGTTGTTATTAATTTCTCAGTTTAAACAAGAAAAACAAAAACAAACAAACAAAAAAAATCACGGACAAGCAACTCAAATACGTGAAATGACGTTTATAGTAATAATAAGTAATAAGAAAAAATGTCGGATAAGAAATTCTTCCAAATAAATTACATTTCGGATAGGAAAATAAAGTTAGTAGATATGGATTCGTAGAAGTCCCAACGAGAAATGTGTCCTCCTTTATAGAGTTATTCAAACCCTGCACTGACTCCGCAGTGGAACTCATAATGCAGGTTCGATTCCTGCCAGGCGTACAAGATTTCTATTGTAGGACTTGCTAATCTATGCCAGTTCTTATTTATTTCACTGTTTAATAAAATAAAATAAAAAAAACAGGGATATCAACACATGTACCTACCAAAAATAAAGTTTATTATAACAATAATAACAATAATATATATATATATGTGTATGTGTGTGTGTGTGTGTGTGTATTTTTGCAGCAATCCTTCTTTCATGCACATTTCATTGAATACGACAGACAAGGTGCTTTTATTTAGTCTTTTATACAATTTCTCATGCGATCGAATATTTTTTTTTCTTATTGGATGATAAATTATATAAAAACTGTCCGAATGTTCTTTTTATCCGAGCGCTTTCGGCTATACATTTAGTCATTTTCAAGGATTAAATATTTCAACTGTTAAATAAGAAATAGTTTGTTGTATATATGTTTTATAAAATGTTTTCATCTTTCAAAACACGGTCAAGATATTGTGTCCATGTTCAAAGTTAATATTATTAATTTTTTTTTTTTGTCTTTATTTATAAGGCTTCCATTATTTTTAGCCTTTTTTTGCATGTAGATGATACTATTACATTTGTGTCGGCAACAAGTATGTTACGAATAGTGTCCGGTAGGTCTCCATGAATATTTAAATGAGATCTAATTGAGCTATGGTCAGAAAGGTGTAGAGCGAGTCTGCGTGTCAAATATGTTGTAGTGTGGCCTATATAATTATTTATGAATTTTGATTGATCAGGCATACAATTCCTTAATGGGCATTTAAATTCGTAAATAATATTTGCCCTATTTAATTTATTAAATTAACACACACACACACACATACACACACACACACACACACACACACACACACACACACACACACACATATATATATGTTTGTGGACAGAATTATTCGCCACACATCCCTTATTTACAAATAAAACTTCATGCGCATTTTTTGACAATTGATGAAATAACGGATAACAAAGAATTTACATTTCAGTGTCAAACAATAATACAAAAAAAAAAAAAAAAAAAACACCGAAAAAATTAACATAGGACAAAATTATTAGCCCCCTTGCTTCAATAACCAATTGTGTAACCTTGATTGGTGCCTTTAATCATTTTATTAGTTCCTTACAAGTTCACTAAACGCATATAAGTATTTTGCTTCATTCTTTCTTGGCAATAGTTGTTTCTAGTTCCTACAAATTTGAAGGATTTTTTCTCTTTATTCTTTTCTCAAATATGACCATAAATTTTCAATGGGGTTTAAGGTAAGGCCTTTGTGCTGGGTATGCCAATACCTTGCTTTTGCTGTTATCTAAATATTTTGTAACCATTTGTGCCGTGTATTTCAGGTCATTGTCATGTTGGAACGTTCAGTGACGCCCCAAAGGCAGCTTTCGTGCACTTTGTTTTATATTATTTTTAAGAATAGCGAAATACCGCTCTTTACCCATGTTACCCTGTACCCTCACAAGTTGTACTCGTCCAGAAGCAGCAATACATCCCTAGAGTAGAATGTAACGTCCTTCCACTGTCATTAATTGTAGGGAGTGTATTTTTTAGTTTGTGAACATCATTCACTTACCTCTATACCCAAAGAAAGTTCATATGACCAAATAATTCTAGTTTGGTTTCATCTGACCATACAAAAAGAGTTCCAGCAATTAATCCTATGTTCGAGAAGGCTTCTAAAGTTTATCTGCATTTTAGGTGTTTAGTCTTAAGTTTAATTTGGGTGACAAGCTGGAGGTACTGCGAAAGCATCTAATGACTCCCTTCATCGATACATTCAACCCTGATGTTTTTACATTATTGACAATGTCCTTTGTCTTTAAGTGAGGATTCTTCAAGACATCTCTAACAATTTTCCATTCCATTGTCTCAGAAATTAACCATTTTCAGTTACTTCTTCATTTATTCTCAACACAATGAGTCTCGGAGTACTTCTTGATAATGCTTCGAATTGTCGATC